GGGTAAAGGAGGTACCTTAGATGATTCCCAAGTGACTGGATGGGGAACTGTAAAGGTTTATTATGGAATATAGAAAGAACAGATTGAAGCCACAGGAAATGGATGAACTCTGAGCCAGACATGCTGCATTTCAGGTACTCATGGGACAAGTAGAGAAGCTTAGTAGACAGATAAATATATCAGCAATCAGGAAGGGTTCGAGGCAGGCAATCATTAATTTTATAGTACTTGGGACTACCCTCTCAAGTCTTAGGGACATGGTTAAGACCAAGGGTGGTATATTGCTTTCCTACGGCTGCCACAACAAATTACCGTGAACTGAGTGGCCTAAAACAAATTTATTCTCTTGCTATTCTGGAGCTTAGGAATCTGAAGTAAAGTATCAGCAGGGTTTGTTCCTTCTGGAAGCTCTGAGGGAGAACCATTCCTCCATGCTGCTGACTCCTTGGCATTCCTTGGCGTATACGAGTAACTCCAATCATTGCTTTTGTATTCACATGGGCGCTCCCTGTCTCTGTGTGTCAAGTCTCTCACTCTCCTTTCTCTTATAAGGATGCCAGTCTTTGGATTTAGGGCCCACCCTAAATCCAGGGTGATCTCACCTCAAGATCCTTAACTTAATTACATCTTCAAAGACCCTAATTGCAAATGAGGTCACATTCACAGATACTGGGGGGTAGGACCTGGATATATCTTGGCAAGGGCCGGGGTGGGCTCAATTCAACTTATTTACAGGTGATTTCTATTTTTTTTTTTCTTTCTGTGTATGGCAGCCATTAGTAATTCTTTCCCTTTAGAATTTATCTCCTCTAAAATCAGACTTTTCAATTTGTCCCTTCTTTTCTGCCCCTAAAAATATATGCAAGAGGCCTTTTAAAAAAATGAAAACTTTGAGAAGTATTTTGATAATGATTGAGAAGAAACACTGAGGCATAAAAAAATCAAATTGTGGTAAATGTAACAAAGTTACAGAATCTCACAAATTTCTTACATTAATGATTCCTAACTGGCCTTTTCCAAATCTCATCTGACGTGTTAAGGGGAAGTCACAGTGACCTTTACCCTCTCACTTCCCTCAAGATTGAGGCTCACCAAACCTCTCCTACACAGATACCCTCCCATCTGAGCCTCACTTTAGATGCAGTTGCTGCCTAAATTTATAATGAAGGCAGAATAAAATGTATCAGACGACCATTCTGGATCTCTTCAAACTCTAATGGGCTGCCTTCCATTTCATTGAACCACTGTACTAACCAAGAAATGGCATCTGCTCACAGAATCATCATAATAATCAAAGATGTAACACAAGTGCTAAGGATGTGCATATCAACATAATAAAAGAGAAAAGTAAAGAAAGGAGTTAACAGTTTTTGCTGCCTCCTCAGATACCAAGGGCTGTGTACTCCTTCACATTTGTTAGTTCATTTAATTCTTCTATCAAACTTACATTTTTTTCCTAGTTGAGGGAAATGGAAACGTAGAGAGATGAAGTGTTAAACTTTGTTAAATATCACACTTAACAAGAAGTGGGATCCTAGATCCATCTGAATCCAATCTCCAAATGCTACTTATTTTACTATGCTACTTTGTAAATAAAGTGTCAGCTATTGAATAATTTTCATAGACCATTTATTATAAGAAACTATATTAACTCACTTAATTTTAATGTTTTATCTAGTGAGTGTTATCCTCATTTAACCAATGAGATGATTGAGACTTAGAAAGGTAAAATTATGTGTATAATTTATATAGCTAGTAAGTGGCAAAGGTAGGATTTTAATTCAGACTTGCCCAACTCTAAAACACATACTTTTCCCAACCAAGATTGGAACCTTGGTCCAAAATCTAAGAAGCAGGTGAAGAAAGGATCCCAGGCAAGGATCCAAAGATAGAGGAAGCAGTGAGGAAAAAGGCACCAAGGAACCATGCTATGATGAGAAAGAAGGAAGGAGGAGTTTCAATAATGAGAAGATGGTCAGTTCTGTCATTCCTCAAGGAATGGAAAATGTCCTATGGATGTGGCAACTCAAAGACCAAGGGCAGCAGAAACAAAATTGTAGTGGGAATTGAAGAGTGAAAAGGAAATGGGAGAGTATGAGATAAAGCATCTTTGATAAGATTGACTTAGAAGGTTAAAAAGAGAGACACAGTTGGAAATAGAGGGCAAAACAAAGTTGAAGGAGAGACTTTATTTACTTCTTTTAGGAGAAGAGGGAACCTTAAATACTTAGCAAGTCGTGGTGGTAGAGATGGAAGAGATGATTAGGTAGATGACATAAATGAGAGGAGAGAATAATGAGAATTATTATTAGAGAAAATAATCAATGAAGAATATAGAAATCTAGAACTCTAGAAGGGAAGTGAAGGGAAAAAGTGGGCATAAATGGAGATAGATTTGAAGCTAGCAAAGGGTAGGAGAGAGGGTAGGGGCAGGAAGGTAAGAGTTTAGCCTTACTGGTCTTTCTAAAATCAAAGGCAAGGCCATTTTCTGAGAGAGAGGGAGTCAGCAGGGTTGAGGATTTGGTGGTGACTATGATAAGAACAAGATATAAAGAACCAGTAAACAATCCTATTGAGATTGAATGTTGTAATACATAAATGGCTTTATGATTTAACATTGCAGATAGAAATGTTAAAATTTCGTATAGCATAACTAAAACTCGAGTCTCTAAAAGCAAGAATGTATATTTTAAAGTGAACCCCTATTTCTACATAAACACAAACACGCACCTTGAATTGGAAATAGCCATTGCAGAATGAGAGTCTATGAGTTACCCTCATAATAATTTGCATTCCTCTTGCATGTATATTAATCATTTTTCCTACACAATGTTATCTTGGCAGTCCCTAAAAAGCATAAAGAATTCATGCTTTTATTCAATTTCATGTGCCAAACCATTTCAAATATATTTGTGTTCTAGAGAAGCTAATTAGAATACATAGAAGCTAAATAGTCTACAAAAGTGCGTGGTGCCAGGTTGTATATAAACAAGGGGTTAGAGGATAGGAAAATCAGGCATATCCTCTTAAGATCTTACTAAATGAACATATCCCAAGACCATTGCTGTCATACAAGAGCCGTATTTCTTTACAGAGTAATGTTGTTCATGAACACAGTAAGTTCAAGAATAATACATTAAAAAGGTTGTGCGGGAGAACCAAGTCAGGATGTCAAGGATAATATAAGGTTAAATACAATCATCTTTTATAGTAAATATTAACCCTAAAGATCTGTCCTAAGTCTAAATAGTTGTTTTCAATTCATATTGTGTTTATAGTTAGCAGGGATGTTTTATTCTTTGAATAAGTTCCAATGAATTTAGCTCTGAAAGGCAAAATGTATAATCACTCTCAAGGTTCCCCTTTCTCTTGCCTGCACTGGAACTTTTCTTTCTGCTTAAAAGAGATCAGAGGACCGAGTCTAGGCTGTGCATAGTAACTGGGGAAAAGGCATGGATCATTTAGAAACCTGCCAGCACTGAAGCGCTGCACTAATCTGACATCAGTTTCTTCAATAGAAATGTTTAAGCAGCAAGAAAATATTCTATGTTTTTTGGCAATCAGCAGATCAGATAGAAGAGTCTAGCAATACAAAGAGGATGTGTAATCTGACATGATTAGACAAGGCTCTTTAGTACCAGAACATTCATAATTGAGACAAAGAAAGAGTATTAATAACACTTTCCTAACACGGCAGTTAGCCATTTTATATTTCCTTTCTTTAATCTTAGTGTTTTTCAACAAATCATGGGATTTAATAGCGTGTTTTGGCAGATTAGAGGATTTATGGCCCAGATGTTTTTTGTTCTAAAAATGGATTAGGGTGTAAAGTTTGCTGGAATCCATGGAACATGTTGAGGCAAGCCGGTCATTTTATGTGTGATTAGTGCCTGCCTTCTGTCTCACAGTCCCTCCATCTGTCACAATTCACCAATGGATCTGGTTAGATTTAGCCTCATGTCACAAACAAGTCCCTTTTCTGGGCAATTTCATATTACAGATTCATTTTATGCCATTTTATGCCCTAGTTAAAAGATAGGGAGAGAGAAAGATGAGATATTAACTTTTCTTTAAATATTTGCAAAACAATCTTTTCCCATCAGTATTCTACCCTATGTCATGCAGATCATCTTACTAATGTGCATCAAATAAATAAATGACCAGTGTTAAAATTAAGTTAAAAAATAGTTTTGCTTCTTACACCTGTTATTCTTTAAAAATAATATTTTGCTAGTGTGTTTTACTAACCATGGATTGTAGAGCCTGCAGACACAAGCTGGTCATTTGACCATCTTATTAAGAGTGTGAATTAAGTGTGACTACAGTTAAGAGTAGCCACAATTTCTTATCAAACAATTACGAGTGCTTGGTTACATTCTGTGCTTCATATTTAGCCCCTTAACTATTACAAGTTTGTAACCACAGCAAACCACTGCCACCTGTGGTTTATTTCACTGTAAATGGATGTAGGGAGAAAATGCTCTTCTTTCAGTCAGTTAATAATGATCTAGTCCTTCTGTATATAACAAACCTAATAGTGCTATACACAACTCTAAGTTGACTTTTCTAATACTATGAGAGATTCAATAATCATAGTGATAATTATTAATACCTATATCCTATGGTAACATTCAAATGTTCCTTGTATGAAAAAAGTCAAATACAGGTTTTATGTTTGCACCGCAAAATATTCAGATTAATAACTAAAACTTTTACTTAAAATTATATTTTAAATTTCTTTCCAAATTTTTGGAAAAACTATATTTCACCTAAATATTATGTTTTTATTACAGATGTTTGGAAACATGTTCGTGTATGACTGTGCGAGTCAGTCACCAATTATTCATTCACTAACTCATTCATTTTGGACAAATTGCACGGAGAAATTATTATATGTCAGTAACTAGCTGTTACACCCTAAAAAAGTGATTTTTATGGTTAAAGGTTAGCCTGTCCATGCATTTGTACAAAACATATCCTTCGATCTGATTCATTTTCAGGTTATTTAAATGACCACGATGCTGTCACCAAGGCAATCCAAGAAGCTCGGCAGATGAAGGAACAACTTCGGCGGGAACAACAGGTGCTTGATGGGAAGGTGGCTGTTGTGAATAGCCTGGGTCTCAATAACTGCCGGACAGAAAAGGTCAGTTCATAAAATAGCTTACTTTCCGTAAATGCTTAATAAACTTTCTCGAATGCTTTTCTTTTTTATCTTTCCATCTTCTTACCATCCTCAGAATGATGATTTTTCCCTCCATCAATACAGAAGGCCCTGTGCCCATCCTAATCAAAACCATCTGGAAATGGGAAGAGTTATAATTCTCTTTATCCAATGAATATCCCCCTTTATGCCACCAGCTTGTATTAAAATGAAATGGCATTTGAAATATCTGAGTCTGAGTAAAAGTTTTGCTTTACAGAGATGCTTAACTTGTATTGGGGATGAGCTGGATTTGAAAATGCTGAATCTTCTTTAATCAGCATAAGCTTGGATGATACCCATGCTCATATTCTAAGTATTTAGGATCCTGAGCTTGTCATAATATGTTTCCAAGGCAGAGTACTATCAAGCGTTGGGTGACTGCACAATTGAAAAATTTGACTTTTTCATAAAACAAAATGTGCCTTCTAAAACTGGGACATTATCCTTATACCTAAGTGAAACTTCTGAATTTGACTGAGATCTATGATGATTTCAAGCTCTTTTGTCTAAGTGTATGTCGTATTTAATTAAGAAAAATATTGTAAGTTATTTTAGAATGCTCAGAATCATGTGCTTCCTTTGGTAATATTTGATATGTTTTGAAGTGAAATTTTCAAGTGTTACCAAGTCCCCTTTGCACAATCCTATAGATAAATAAAGTAGTTGAGAGAAAAAATCATCAGCTACTTAGCAATAACTTGAAAGTTAATCATCATGGGATGCTTATGAGTCAAACAACTGCCCAGAATGAGCAGATTGCTAATTTGGAGAGCTTTCTGGTTCCCAGGTTTTATATGGAGTTTGATGTCTAATCGCTAAGAAAGCTGGCGATCTGTGTAGTGAAGATGAAATGTATGGGTGATCCCGTTGCAACTGCTTTTTCTCTGGTCCTAACGTGGAGAAAAATTTAGGTTGGGGAAACTGTTTTAATTCTGTTCTGTGTCCAGAGGGGAGGGCAACGCGTGGGTCAGTATACATCCTTTGCAGTCTTACAACATGAGAAGTATGACATTGGTGTGGTGAGAAGGGCACAGCATTTTTAAAGCCGAGCACCGAAAGGGAAAGGGAAAAACAAAGTGACAGCTCTAAGAAGGAATGATAGCAAGCATAAAGGAATTTATATTCAAATATTTAAACATTCTTGAAAGGATGCTTGAACAGAAATTCCTTTTCTCTGCTCCCCATGTAGAAATGAGTTTAACACTCAGCCAGATGCTAATGCAAAGTGACTCAAGCTATTCCTCGCAAGCATAGCTAAATTGCCGTTATTTGTTAAGCGCATTGAATTCAGCTGTGGATACAGCAGTTGGTTGCATTCAGCAAGCATCTGTACCCTTTTTTTTAATCCTCCAAAGCAGAGACAACTCTACCTATCTCCCCCCTCTCTTCCCCAGTGCTGGCTGGGAATTGTCAAGTGACAACCGACCAAATCCTTTTGGACAGGAAGCCTTCATCCTGAGTTCTATATACTTGCAAAACAGGCCTTGTGGTTGGATCAGGGAGCCCATTAAAAGCACTTTGATGGTATGGAAATTCATCTTCATGAAGCTCCTAGGCCCCTAAGCAGCATGCTGTTTAGCTGTGGTTACAGATCAGTCATTCACATCGGAGGGCAATAATTGTGCTGACGGCTTGTAAGGCAATGGAAGTACATAAAATAATCCCGGGCCCTCCACCATGGCACTGTGATTTAATCTTCTCTAATACAGATCAGCTGTTGTTCTAACACATGACTTTATGCTGGCTCCAGTGACTCTGCACAGGCTTTTGATTAAGTAACAGGAGTGGAACCATCTGCATTCACTTTATTCCATACTTGTCCATTGTTAGGGGACCTTATTTCCACTTCTTGTTCCACCTCCACAGTCGTACTTTATTTGATTTCTCTGATTAGCACCTCCTATTTGGGTTGCAGGAGTGAGAGTTGCCTCTGTTGAAAGCTACTGCATCAAATTTCCTTTCTCTTTTGTAGCGTTATAACAACTGTTTTTAAAATCTGTTTTTTAAATAATACCTGCCAAAACTATGGCCAATTAAGGTGTCTCTAGTCTCAAGAAGGTTATCATTCTCAAATCTGTTCACCATGCACTGTCAACGTAGTTGAATTACACCTTGAACTATAGTCTTATGCTTGTATGGATTTTAAGTGAAAATATTAAATTATGAAAATGAAGCAATTCCGTTACTATAATAGTATGACAAACTCTTATAATGTGTAAGTAAATGTTTTCAACCAAAAGATCCGAATTATCTCAATCCTTGTGTTACTCTGACACCTGAGCATGAAATTGAGATTATTGAAGCAGGTATTACTATAGTGTGTGGTTGACTTTTCCTGTTGAACTAGCTCGGGTGTCATTTCCACAGTATTAATGATTGATCTCTGTGCATTTCATGAGAATGAGATGATAATGTCATATTTATATCTTTGAATTAGTAATTATTCAACATTAGCACTTACCATGTATTAGGGTCTGTGCTGTGTACTAGAGGTATTGTATTGGACCAGAAAATATGGGCTCTGCCTTCATAGAGCTTATAGTGTAGGTCAAATTATTTGGTGGTTAATAATTGCATACTGATGTATGAGAGCTCACCTATAGGAATTGAATAAAGACCCATATTGCTTAACATATCAGATGAATTATATGTGTGAGTTCACAAAGGTAGATACTTATTCTTCCACATAAACCAACATCACTATGCATATTGTGTTGTTATTTTTCTAGTACCTACCTTTTTATTAGAATTTTATAATCACTCAGCATTACCTACAACCAGTGCATATATGGATCAATAATTGGTTTGAAATTTTGCTTCATAGTTCTTAATGAAAGCCATAAACAACATATGATAAATTCCTTTTATATTTTGCACTATCATCTTCTCATATCATTTGAATCCCAAAAGAAGGGCTTTTTTTTTTTTTTTTTTTTTTGAGACAGAATCTCACTGTGTTGCCCGGGCTGGAGTGCCGTGGCGTCCTA